TAAGTGTCTATTTCTGACTAATATCCATTCTTCCTATGGAAGTTTAGCCACCTGCCAGATCATCCACTTTCTCATATTGTTCCCTGGGATGCCTTTGTGATGCCCACTGACTCCTTCCAGAAGAAGCTCAAGTGTAAGACCCAGTCCTAGACCCCACCCTTGCTTTCTTGGGCTTCAAATGGCATTACTACCAACACCAGGATTCTGCTGTGCATGGTGGCACCTGTCTATAGTCTGAGCCATAGGGAGGCTGAAGTGGGATGACCACATGACCTCATGAATTCAAGATCAGCTTGGGCAGGGTAACAAGAACCCATTTTAGAAAAACAAAAAAGGAAAGATGAAAGAAAGAAAAGAAGGAAGGAAGGAAAGAAGGAAGGAAGGAATAAAGGAAAATAATTTTAATTTTAGATGTACTGCAGGGCAAAAATCAACCACCACCTTTGTAGGCATCTCTATGCTTAATTCTCTCCAGAGTTCCTGTTCTGTTGTTCACCTAAAAACTGTGTATCTCTACGAACACTCTTTGAAAAATCTCTGTCTAGAGTCTTTACTCTCATTTCCTGATTGTGGGGCAGGAAATATTTCTCACTGCTCCCCCCCTTGTATGTCTCCCTATTTTATCCTATTCTAAAATAAATCATTACTAAAACTTTCAAAACAAAAGAAAATCTGTTTTGTTTTGTTTCGTTTTGTTTGAAACAGGGTCTCTGACAGTAGCCCAAGCTGGTCTCCAACTCCTGATCCCCCCTGTACCACCCAAGTTCTAGGATAGCAGGCATGAGCCTCCATGCCCTTCATTGTATCTCATTCCTATAATGGACAAAACAAAATCCTTGTTATTCCCAGGAAAGCTAATACTATCGTCAACTTTAACATCTAGTTATTGGAGCTTGCATCTTCCCAAATGCTAATGCCAAAAATTTAGAATCACTCAACTTTTCTACCTTTGTTTTTCAAAAAAGATCACCCTGGCTTCCCTAATGAAAGCAAACCCAGAACCCAACCACAATTTTGCCTCTACTGGCTGTCACCTGGACTATTACAGAAGCCTCCTGCCTGAAATTTCTGTCTTTGTTCATGCTCATGGTGTTCACCTTGCTGGAGTCCCTGGGAGTCTGATAAGATGTGGTCAAATCACCTTCCAAATCCCTCATTGCTCCCATCACCTCCAGAATAGACACCTATTATCTCAGGCCTGATTTAAAATTATTGTTGTGCTGGAGGTACATTGTGACATTTATAAAAGTTCTTACAATATATCATAGTTAAAATTTCCCCTTCCATCCTGGCATGATTTATGCACACATCTCTAATTTCCCATGAGAGGGAAGGAAACCTATGATCCATGATCAAGTTTATCCTCGTATTACAAATTTTTCACCTGGGGTAACTTTTTATCTCATTCCTCTAGCTGCTACAAATTGCAGGAGAAACCATTCTGTTAACTAACTAGCCTGGGATTACATCCCTTGGCTTGTGGTTTCTTTAGGGTCGCCAGGCTCACAGAGTGGAAGAGTGGCAGGCAAAGATTCTTAGGTCACAAGTCCAGAGACAAAGTGTGGAGTCACACCCATGAGGTCCTGGAACAAACTCCACTCAGCTGGGTGCCGTCCATAAGCGCTGCTGTAGTCATGGGAACCTGTGGGAAGCAGGAGGTGACACAGTGACCATGGTGGGGCTTCGTGGGCCCAGGCCCCCTGCCCCCTGCCCGGCCTGGAGCTAAGTGACGTCACGATGCCTGGATTCTCTCCAGAACTCAGTCCTCAGTGCTGACTCTTTCCACCTGTGGATGTGACACAAGGACTCACTCTTCTTGGGCCTCGGTGTCACCGCCTTCCAGGCTGCTGTAACTCTGTGCAGCGTTTGGAAAACTTGAGCAGCCTAACCCAGACCCCGTTCCTCCTCCATCACAGCCTCCAGGGCTCCCGGAGCCTGAGGTCAGTGGTGGAATTCCTCACCTTTCCATGGAGGGGCCAATGCTCCGGCTTCAGAGGCCAACTGTCACACTGTCCACAACTCATCACGACAGGTGTCAGAAATGGACCTCCCCTTTCACTACCTTGTGACATAAGCAGGCCCCTCACAGAGCTCTGGGATGGATGGAACCCTGGGGACAGAGCACCTCAGGGCAGTCGTCATCATCGCAGTGTGAAGCTGGAGCGGGGACCCTGGCATCGCCGTCCCTGTCCCTCAGACCAATCAGTGGATAGCAGGGAAGACCCTTTAATCGCGCCTGACCGTTCTTGTCAGCTGATTCTCTCCCGATTTTCCTAAAGCTCTGAAGGCGAGAAAAGACCGTAGCCCAGCTCTTTTTACTGAGAGGAAGCGATGCCGGAAGTCCCGCCCCTCAGATGTTTTCCAAACGCGGAAGCTGTTTGCTTGTTGGTTCAGTTAGCTCTCATTCGGCTCATAGTATTGTGGGTAACATAGTTCGTGGACATCAATGGCCGCCTCTCGGGTGTTCCACACCCCCCAATGGATGGACTTCCATGGCGCGATTGTTTTAGAGCTCCCCTGGTACCTGGTCTTGAGCAGGAAGGCTCAAGGTTCAGCGCCCTGGCGCCCCGCCTGCACCAACTCTGTGGCAGGAGTGAGTAGTCCTTTGCTCCAGGAGGAAAGGTGGAAAAAGCATCTGGAGCCTAATAGGCCAGGGGGATCCTGTTGGGCAGTCAGGGTCGCTGCCGTCCATGTCGTCCTTAAGCACTGCATATCCATCTGAGAATCAGGAATTTGTCCTGTTTGGAAGCCTTCTTAAAGTACTGGTCTGCCCCTTTCTGTGACAGGCACAGGAGGCCCATGGATGCTGCGGGTTAAAATCAACAGGGCTGAGGGAGACTCAGCCCTGGTGAAGTGTCCTTAAATCCAACTTAGAGATGCTGAAGCTCCCCGACTGCAGTATGTGACTCCAGCCTTCTCTGTTACCCAATTTTCTCAGTCAAATCGCCACTCTATCACTTCAGACCACAGTCAGAACCACACCTGTGTGTGTGTGTGTGTGTGTGTGTGTGTGTGTGTGTGTGTTAGGGGGTGGTGTAGGGACGCAATTGGTAGATAGCTAACAGATCAGCCCTACAGACCTAAGCAGGTAGAGGAAGTGAATAGGAGAACATTTGCTTAGCAGGTGGGAGGTCCTGGGCTCAATTCCCAGCCTGACAAAAATTTTAAAAACCTTGGTACATTTTAAGAAACACACACCACTTCATCACAGAAATCATCGCTCTGATTCTCTAAATAGTAGGCTGGGCTAGAAGTGAAGACCAGTGGTAACACACTTCCCTAGCTTGTGTCCTGGGTTCAATTCACAAGCACCACATTCCCAACAAAGTAAACTGACTAGATTGAAGTCAAGCAATCCAGCCCACTTACTCAATTTCCTACAGCACACAGCAGAGCCACATTTCCCAGTGCTAAGCGCCCAGGTTTGTCCAAGTAAAGTTTCTGTTAAAAAAGATGTGGAAGTGAAGGGTGTGTGTGCAACTTCTCAACCTCTCATTTCCCACCAGTCAGCTACAGACAGAGCAATTGAAAGATGACTGAGCCAGGCACTGGTGGCTCATTCCTATATTCTTAGCTACTCAGGAGGTAGAGATAAGGAGGATCGTAGTTCAAAGCCAGCCCAGGCATATAGTTTGTGATACCCCATCTTGAAAACATCCAACACAAAAAAAGGGGTGAGGACGTGGCTCAATTCAGAGACTGCCTGACTAGCAAGTGTGTAGCTCTGAGTTCAAATCCCATACTGCAAAAATGATCACATTAGATGCCAGCTGGATGTTTAAATTTGTGGTGCAGAGCTCACCTGCTTGATCCACACTATATCTTGATGCAAGTCAGAAACAACCAGGCCCCAGGGAGTTCAGAACAAGCTTCACACAGAGATTCAGAGGCAGTAGTCACCTCATATCCTGAAAGCTGTCTTAAGTCATGATCAACTATTGATTGTTTGAATGGGCAGAGATCATGTGAGAGGCCTCTTTATCATTCAAAGCAATGCTCCATGCTACAGTGAGTGAATGGTATCTAGTTTGGGAACCAAATGCCACGTTGATGATAAAAGAAACAGGAAATGAGTGCTGTGAAGAGAAAATACTTCAACATCCAGTCTGAATTTCAAGACGGGTAGTAGAATAATGAGTATAGCTACTCCCAAACTAAGCAAAATATTGGTGACACCTGAAATCTGAGCACATGAAAACAATTACTGTGCTTTGCTATGGGATATGAGGCTGGACGACCACACAAAATCCATTACTGTAAACGTCAACTCATCTACCCTGTAGATTAGGATAATGGATTTTAGAGATATTAAATATCATTTCCCTTTTCTCAAGGTAGTAAAAACACTAAGGAGGTGCACACTTGCTCCAAATCCAGGTACCCAATGCATGTGTCATACTGTTACAGAACATGATACATACAATATGAGAAAAAATACTTGTGAGTGACTACCAAGTTCAGCAATTCCATCTTGACTCCAATACATGCATCTTTAGGCCTGGTGATACATTTGGATCTCTAACATCCTCCAAAGGGCCATGTGTTAACTTGTTATACAGTGCAATGCTATTGTGATGTAGAATTATGGGCATTAGGCCATATGCTCTATGATCTGGGGAAAGCACCCCTCTCAAAAGTACTTGGTGTTGTGACATCTGCTCTGATAAATGAATAGATTCACGCTATTTTCAGAGTCTGCGTCCCTGTTAACAACTGATCCCTTCTCATGTAAACTCTGGTACCATGCAATACAGAAGCTTCCAGCCTACAAATTAGGACCAGAAACTCGAGGATTGTTTTATTGGAGGTCTTAGGAAGCCACCTACATTGGGGAAAATCAGGAAAAGGATCCGTCATTATGATCTTCCTATTGAGGTACATATTGTTGGGGGGGGTGTCTCATAAAAATGATACATCTCCTCATATGAAAAGAACATAATTCTATATAATGTCAAACAACAGTTACAGTAACAACAAACCATCAAAGTAGATTCAACGATAAGGCCTTTATTATTGTACAAACAAAAGAAATGTGAGGCAGAAGGTTATCAGTGAACTAGAGGCTATGTTATGTAAGACAAGTGACTTTAATGAAGAGGTTAAGTTTTCCTTGCAAGCCTTCAGTTGAATTGAGTCCCTGTGACCCTAATGGAGTTTTTCTTATGACATGATCTATCAAAAGCAGAACAAAGTTGTGCTAATGGCTAAGGTGACTCAAGATTTCCTTCCAGGAAGGAGAGAACAAATATATGTAATTTGACAGTGTAGCTGGGTACCACTGTGCAAGGTGGTTGAGGAGGATGACTCCAGTAAGAAAATTCAGCAAGTGCATTGGAAAATGCAGAATGTGAAGAACATGCATGTGAGCCATATCCTGTGCCTGGATTCATGGGGCACCTCAGCCACTAGACATTTGGAAATAGGTTGCTCAACTTCAGGCAGAGGGAATCTTAAAGGTTCTCTAGTGCAAATATACTGCATAAAAAATCACTTTCCTTTCACATCTAGGGCTTTTCTCAAGCAAGAGACATTCTGCTGCTCAAAAAGGTGGGACCCAAAAACTTCCCACAATTGCCTCATTCATGGGAAGTTTCTTTGGTGTGATACTTTTGGTGGAGACCACAGAGTGGTGTAAAGGTTTGGCCCATTTTCTGCATCTGTAAGTCCTTCTCCAGTACAGATTCTCTGGGGGACAAAAAGTTCATCTCCTAGCTTGGGTGATTTACCACACACTCTAAATTCATAAGACCATCTCTACTGTGAATTTTCTGGTGTGTTTTATGGGCACCTATTTGCTTAAAAGATTTCCCACATTTTATACATTTATAAGGTCTTTCACCAGTATGGACTCTCTGGTGTATAGTAAGAGTGTGTCGTAGTTTAAATGATTTTCCACAGTCTCTACACTCGTGAGGCCTTACTTTACTATGAACTTTCTTATGTGCATTAAGGTAGGCTGGTCGTGCAAAGTATTTCCCACATTCTCTACACTGATAAGGACTTTTTCCATTGTTAATTACCTGGCATCTACTGACAATAGAATTTTGCCTCAATGTTTCCCCATACTCATAGGATTCATAAGACTCTTCTCCAGTATGAATTCTGCAGTGACTAATAAGGGAGGCACGTTGAATGAAAGATTTTCCACATTTTTCACACTTAAAACGCCGATCTCCAGTGTGAAGGCGCTGGTGTACATTAAGTGCATTTTTTGTCCTAAAGGATTTGTCACATTCTCTGCAAACATAAGGCCTTTCTCCAGTGTGAATTCTCTTGTGTCCTCTAAGAGCAGTCATTTGCCTAAAAGATTTCCCACATTCTAAACACTTATAAGGCTTTTCACCAGTATGGACTCTTTGATGTACAGTAAGAGTGCCTATTACCTTAAATGATTTCCCACATTCTTTACACTCATAAGGCCTTTCACCAGTGTGGACTCTATGATGTACATTAAGGGCACCTACATGCCAAAACGATTTCCCACATTCTCTACATTGATAAGGCTTTTTACCAGAATAAACCACCTGTTGTCCACTGATAGCAGAATTCTGCTTCAAGATATTCCCATATGCATAGCATCCATAAGATATTTCTTCGCTATGAATTCTGCAGTGACTAATTAGGTTGGCACGTCGACTAAAAGATTTTCCACAGTGATCACAACAATAAGGCCTTTCTCCAGTGTGAACACTATTGTGTACATTAAGGGCATCTTTTGTCTTGAAGGATTTGCTACAATCTCTACACTCATAAGGCCTTTCTCCAGTGTGAGTTTTCTGGTGTCTATGAAGAGCACTTCCTTGTCTAAATGTTTTCCCACATTGTCTACACTCATAAGGCCGTTCTCCTGTGTGGATTCTCTGGTGCATACTCAGGCTAGCACCTCGCACAAATGATTTTCCACATTCTCCACACTGATAAGGCCTTTCTCCTGTGTGGATTTTCTGGTGTAGAATAAGGGAACGTCTTTGATGAAATGATTTGCCACATTCAGTACATTCATAGGGCCTTTCTCCAGTGTGGAGTCTCTGGTGTACACTAAGGGTTTGTACTTGCTTAAAGGATTTACCACATTCTCTACACTCATAAGATCTTTCTACAGTATGCACACGCTGGTGATTCTTAAGGGAACATATTCCTGCAAAGGATTTCTCACATTCTCTACACTCATAAGGCTTTTCTCCAGTGTGTCTTCTCTGGTGTGTACTCAGGCTATCATCTCGTGCAAATAATTTCCCACATTCTCCACACTGATAAGGCCTTTCTCCCGTGTGGAATTTCTGGTGGAGAATAAGGGAACGCCTTTGATGAAATGATTGGTCACATTCAGTGCACTCATAAGGCCTTTCTCCAGTGTGGATTCTCTGGTGTACACTAAGGGTTTGTATTTGCTTAAAGGACTTGCCACATTCTCTACACTCATAAGGTCTTTCTACGGAATGGACCCGATGGTGTGCCTTAAGGGCACACATTCCTGCAAAGGATTTTCCACACTCGCTACACTGATAAGGCCTTTCTCCTGTGTGGATTCTCTGATGTAGAGTAAGGGAACTTTTGTAACAAAATGATTTGCCACATTCTGTACACTCATATGGCTTTTCTCCAGTGTGGATTCTCTGATGTACACTAAGGGTATGTCTGAGCTTGAAGGACTTGCCACATTCTCTACACTCATAAGGCCTTTCTACACTATGGAGACTCTGTTGCTGAACAGGTGAGTATTCATCATGGAACAGTTTCAGATTCATACTATATGCATGCAGATTTTTCCTAGGATAAGTTAAAATGTTATGAAAAGACATATTTTTGTGGCTGGACTCTTCTCTGCACTTGTTGCTTGGCTTCTTATCTGTATGAATAAACTGGGGCTTCAGAAAATCAAAAAAAACTGGAAAATCCTCCCAAAGTTCTAGACAATTAAGAGTCTTCCCTGACACACAAAATTCATAGCTCTCCTCAAATGGTTTCTTGTGCACGTCCCTCATCAAGTGTTTCTCTGCACTGGGATGTTTCTGGTGCTGGGGAAGCCTTGCACATACCCCAACTAAGAACTGCTTCAGCACAGCTGGAGCTGTCAGGTTCAAAATGTCTTCCAAGCCTGTGGCACAGATCTCATGGGGGTGAGTCTTCTGGGTGGATGGACGTGCTTTAGTGTTCAAGTGTGACACTCCTTCCACAGAAAGACTCTGCAAAGATGCCTCCTGAGCCTCTCCTCTTTGTCCACAACCTGAAATCAGAAAACAGATGATGAATACATGTAGAATATGAGCTATACCCTCACCCCAAAGAATTGTTTAGAGGATGTGGAAGCAGAGATCAACTGACACAAGGGTTTACTTCACAATATTGGGCTTCTAAAGATGCTGGAATCTGGATGACCTCACCAGATGGAGGACACAAGGATGAGCACCCACATTGCTGATAAGACAGGGTTACCAACAAACAGCCTGAAGTTGTAGCAACTTCAAGGTACTATTAATAATGTCCTACCATGAAGTCCCCCAAACTCAACAACCTTTAGTAAAAACATGCTGGTTGATTACTACTGCATGCTGTGTAATAGACTGAGTACTTTCTCAGGAAAACAACCTCAACTGTGCTGACAAATATTACAGAATATCCATATACTATGAAAAACATTGGGGGTGCAAAGGCACAAATGATGCTCAGAGACCACAAAGTTAGGGCATAGCCTGGAGCCAGAAGCCACAGATTAAATGACATGTCAGCCAAGTATCAAGTATGGTGAAGAAAAGAAATGAGACATGGCTACTGACACACCAAAACACCATAGTACAACTGCAGGTTCATGAAATGATTTGAATACAACCCTAGAGTCTTGCTCTCCCCTAGCTGTGACATATAAAGGCCAGGGCTTCCCTCAGACCATCTTGCTCAGTCCATTCAACCAAAGAACCAGGAGTCACCTAACACCTCCATTTGTCCAAAAACATGGGAACTGAAGGATGAAAGCCTTAAAGAAAACCAGGATATGTAAGCAATCAGTAGTGGCTCAGAACACCTCAATACATTAAAGATCATTAGAAAGAAAATTAGTACTGCAAAAAAGCCCAGAAGCAGGCTCTGGCAAAAAAGTCTATAGTACACATGAGTAATGATTATGAGATGCCTGGATTCTTGACAGACAGAGCTGTAAGGAAGGATCAACTACATGCGGACAAAACTTAGTCCAAAGGTTTCATGGATGTGAACACAGTTATTTGCCCAAGTCAGGGCAAATGAGATCCATCAGGTGATTCAAGACAATAGCTATCCATATCTGTCCACAATCTTTGGGGTACCAGATGTTAGGCAGCGCTGGGCAGAGTGCACAGCTCAGTGCTGGCACACATAACACACATGGCAAGAAAGTGCAGAAGTCACAGGGCCTATAGACTGTGGAATGGTAGAATAGCATCTATGGAAAAGAAGTCAGAAAACAAGACACAGAGTTGGGTTCAAGGACCTTACCCAATGACGTAAGTGCAAAGCTCTCCAGCATCACATAAAGGTACAGGAGCCTCTGAGCCTCATCAAGGATTTCCCACTCTTCCTGAGAGAAGTAAATGGCCACATCTTCAAAGGTCACACAGCCCTGTCATGAAGCAAACACATCATTCACTGATCAACTTCTCTCTTGGGGACTCAAGTTTGGCACCTACACATACTTGGCTCACTTTCCTCCCTATCTTGCATGTAAGATATGAGAACCAGTGCCACTAAAGTTCAACTCTCTCATCAAATTCCAGTGTAACTATGTCCCCTATAGCACCAAGAGATAGATGGGTCAAGAGGAACCCTGTAATGGAGCTCTCAATAATGGACTACTACTTTTGTTAGCCAATTATCTTAGGGCTTCATAGATTGTGTCTCCAATAAAAAACCAAATATGAGCTCACCCTTTACCCTTATGTCCTCAATATCAGTGCATGCACATAATAAACTCACAGTCCCCTTTTCTTCATACATTTCCATATTTTCTTGGATCAACCACATCTCTCTCTCACACTCACTCCCACAGTCTCCCCAATCATCTGCTCCACACAACATGTATCTCCATAGTCTAACCAAATTAATTAGCACAAGGCATCCAGAGGGAACCTGGCAAACTTAAGCAGAATCCATTTCTACCCAGACCTCCTGATAGTTCCTCATGTCAGAGGCAGCATCTATCCTGTATGAAGACCTCCTTGTCTGATTCCGTATCTTGTTCCAGTATCAGCCACAAAAAACCACATGGGGAATCAGACACCCATGGCATCCCTCCATCTGTGCTGCACTTAATGTAGTCTCACCAGCAGCAGTCACTGCACTCCTCTCTGTTACCACAATCTAATGCCCATCATTAGTGGACCTGCAATCCAGACCTAGTGACCATTCTACTTGTGCCCAAGAGTCAGTCTACCAGTATGACTCAAATTCCCCACATTCCTATACTCACTGTAAATGCTGGGGAGCCAGGGTGGTGAATGAACAGTGGTATTGGACACAGTATTATCTTCCTACAATTACTCTATCTTAGCTACTTGGGATGCAGAGACTGGTTCGAAGCCAGCCCAGGGAAATAGTTCCAGAGACCCTATCTTGAAAATAACCCAACACAAAAAGGGCTGGCCAAGTGGCTCAAGCGGTAGAGCGCCAGCCCCTGACACTGAGTTCAAGCCCCAGTAGAGCCAAAAAAACAAAACAAAACAAAAAACCCAATAATTCTTTTCCCTCACTGTAACTCAAGATATACATCACCCATCACCTCTGTTATTATCTCCATGTTTACTTCTTCCCAGAGTCCCAAATCTGTTGGGCCATCTAAAAACTGATTATCTCTACAACCACTGTTTGGTAAATCTCTTTTTTTCTGAGTTACTTTTTCTTTGTGGTATTGGAGTTTGAACTCAGGGCCTACACCATGAGTCACTCCACCAGCCCTCTTTTTGTGATGGGTTTTTCAAGATAGGATCTCAGGAACTATTTGTCCAGACTGGCTTTGAACTGTGATCCTCCTGATATCTACCTTCTGAGTAGCTAGGATTACAGGTGCCCAGCTCTGAAATAGGGTTTTTCACTGTAGCCCAGGTTAACCTCTAATTCCTGATCCTCCTGCCTCTACCTCTAAAGTCATGTCTGTAGACATAAGCCTCCATGCCCTACATTATATCCCATTTGTAAGATGGCCAAAACAAACTCCCTGTTATTTCCATAAAAATTGATGCTCTTGCCAACATTAAAATCCAGTTTGTTGAGCTTCTATTTTTTCAGTTGGTAAAACCAAAAACTTAAACTCAGTCAACTTTTCTACCTTTCTCTGGCCCTCAAATAGGAAAATCCAGACAATCCTAATGAAAAATAAATCCAGAACCCAACCACAACTTTTGCTTCTTTGGCAGCCACAGCAATCATCAGCTGCTTTTTGCCTGGATTGTCTCCTCATTCTTATTCACGGTATGTTCTCCTTGATGCAGTGGGGGAGCCTAAACAGAGCTAGTCAAATCACCTTCCTCCTCTGTTCCAAACTTCCCATTGCTCCCATCACCTCCAAGATAAATACCTGAATATCTCAGTCTTGATTTCTACCCATGGCTCCAATTTCTGATGAGAAAGACAGAAAACCTGTGACCTCTAAGCAAACTGAGCTGCATTCCTGCAACCTCTGTAGCAGGGAGGAGGATCAGAAAAAAAAGTCTAGGCCTGAGTCCTGAGAAAGTAGCAGGGAGGTAGGGATGGCATAGCAGAGATAAAACCTGAGAAATCTGAACATGAGATGGGTCACGTAGCACCAGGGAGGGGAAAGTCACATAGCACTAGGGTAAAGTAGCCAATAAAATTAAATATAACCATATATGCATTAGACTTTGCTTTTTGCTTCTGTAACCTGCTTGCAAGGGTATATAGGTGAGACCCCTTTGTTCTCAGGGCTGAGCCTTTGGACATGAGTCTGCTGAATCTGTGCTGGCACAATAAAACGTTGCTTCCTGCTAATTGCCTCAAGAGTCCCGTATCTCAGCTAGAAAACTCCCGCAACATTTCTTGGGGGCTTGTTATCTGGGATTGTGGAGATGGTGAGTTATCACCTCCCTTGTCACCAGGTTGCATCCCACCCCCCCACCCCAGACTGCCAGGAGGAGATCCCACCAGGTGCCAATAACCAGAGGGAGATACATCCTTCTGGTGAGTTGGGTGAGGGCCTTGGATGCACAACGGAACCCAGTGAGGCACAGGAACCAGCAAGGGAAGGGAAGCACCACTCACCAGACTGGTAAGAACCCAGGTTCAAATTCAGACCTGCCCCTGGAGGCAGAAGGGGAGACTGATCACCTCCCAATGGGACATCTTAGTAACTGCCATTTTTGGGGTGAAATCATGTCTCAGGTTCAGGGAGTGGTATGGAAGTATGGTGTTGTATGAGAGTATATGAAAATGCGAGCTGAGACACAGCCCAGCTGAGAAGTGAGTGAGGAGTTCCCTCCCGCTGTGTCTGTCTTCCTGTCTGGTTCCGGGAGATGGGTGGAAATCAGAGTAAAAGCACTCCTTTGGAGTATATGATTAGTAACTTTAAAAAGGGATTTAATGGAGACTATGGAGTTAAATTAACTCCTAACAAGCTAAAGGTTCTTTTGTGTGTGTGTGTGTGTGTGTGTGTACTGGAGTTTGAACTCATGGCCTCATGCTTGCTAGGCAGGTGCTCTTACCATTTGAGCCATTCCACCAGCCCAGCTAACAGTTCTTTGTGAAGTAGATTGGCCTTCCTTTGGTGTAGGATGGCCTCTGGAAGGGTCACTAGATAAAACTGTGATTAATGAAGTTTACAGAGTAATTGTGAAAAAAAAAAAAAAAAACCCTAACACCCAGGAGAATGGGAAAAGCCAAGAGGCTAAAATTGGTCTTCAAAGACCAGACTTTGTTGTTTATTTAAGTTCAGGTAGCAATTTATTAGGCAGACTGAGGAGAAATCAGAGTCTTTCAGTCTTGATGGGTAGCTTTGGTACCCCACTTTGTACATCTCCACTCAAAATGCGAACCCTGAAGGAGGACTGAGGCTCAGCACTAACTGAGCTCTTACAAAAATTAACACATGAAGGATGGACTTCTGATACATAGGATCTGGTCAGACTGAAAGAAAAGGAATGTTGCAGAAGGGTTGTGAATGTAGAGAGAGGGAAATGAAATGGAAACAAAATTGGGATGAGGTCTTCATGGGTGAAATGAGAGACAGGGGAGAAAGAGAGAGGAGAAAAAAGGAGGGGAGAGAGAGAAAAAAAATGTTTAGAGACAGAAAAGGATAAAAAGTTTAATACACTCCTTGAGTTTTTATGTCTTAAAAATAAAAAGTAAATAAAAAACAACTTAGGATTATTAAAATATGCCAGAAATACTGAACTTGTTGGCATCTTTACTTCTAGGGAGTATAAACAGGGAGAACCTACCTTAAAGGGTAAAAAGAAAAGGAGCAACTTTGACTGTTGCTGGAAAAAAAGAGACTGTTCCAAAAGGTTGGTGCAGTAAGGTTAGTCTGATATTGAGACAGTCATGAGATGCTTATGTTTCCCTTGCTAATGGCTGGACAGATTATGCATCCATTTAATGGTATGCTCACAGTGTGTATGTGTATGTAAACATCTTCAAAATGGTTCTTAAAATGCTGCTATAAGGTTAACATGCTACTCAAGGTAACAACAACAACAAAAACCCCAGGGTATTTATTTTAAAGATCTCTATTATAAACTGCTTAGGCTTTTTACACATAAATATTTAAACATCTTAAGAATGGTTCTTATTATAGAGTCAATGTAGAAGTTATTACTCTGTTCTATTGCTACTTTTAAGAAAACAGGTTATCAAAGTCATTTCAATCAGGTCTCACTAAGATGCAGGCATTCAGGGGTTAACACTCTGGCTTAGACCAGAGAGGGGGGTGGGAAGAAAAAGGGGGAGGCCACAGCCTGCAACAAAAATCTTGGAATTTGGGTAAAGAAATGATCTTCACATATTTCATACTGTCATAATTACAATCTGGAATTTAATTCTCTCTTATAATACAGGGGCCTATTAACAAATGGACTTTCTATAAATTGTTTTTATACAAAAAATAATTTAAAGGTTCCTTTCTTTCTGTTTTTTTCCCCCATACAAATATAAGGTTCTAAGCTAAAAGGTTTTATAAGTTAACTTCAACAAGTAACATGATATTGAAGATATGATTTTTAAAAATAAAAGAATAAAAAATACTTTTGGATAAATACAAGCTCCTCCAGGGGATACAAAGTAAGTTGTCATAAAGGTACAGAGTAAATTGTCATAAAAGATGGAGCTTATAGATGCTTATGTAAGTGATTAAGTTAACTAAAATCTAAGAGTTACATTAAAGGTTTTATAAGGTCAAAATTTAATGTACTAATGTTAAGCTAAAAACTTGATTCTCTAAGCTCATAATAACAAGGCTATCTTTAAAATATGGTGTTGTTCTTGATAACATTTACAAAAAAATTGTCTTAAAGTGGTTTTTGTTTTGTCAAGATAACTATCAGGGAATTTTTGGTGCAACAGGCTAATCCACAAATTTGGCAAGACAACATGAGTTTATTAAAACACAGAAAAACAAGAGGCTACTGAGCACAGGGAATACTGCTACACTAATGTGAGAGTTAAAACAAATTTACTTATGTAAAGTCAAAATGCACTGTCCAGATAGGATTTATAAAAAAAAAAAAAAAAAAAAACTACACTGGAAGTCAAGACATCCAGTTTTTATTGGACTCAACAGAGTGAAGGAGTTAGTCCTACTCCTTCCACATATTGGATGAGGAAATATTTGGCCTGGGATGTCCAGATTGGGCCTGTTATTTTAGGGGGAAGGGGGCTCCACTGACTACAAGTTGGTGCTATACTGTTGTATGTCATGAGTCATATGTTAATGTCAACAATCTGGGATGTAGATCCCAAGGGATTGATAATCCCTTATCAACATCTGAGCCATGATTCTTGGCCACTGTGTTTCCTAACTCCATACTTAGTCCCCATAAATATTTACCTGTGTACGCTGGTGATTTTTGTCAGGGTTTTAACTATCAAGGTAACTGAGTTATGTTCACTTAGGAGTTGGTTTATGTTGGGGTTAACAATAAAGACAGCCATGTTAGGCCTGGACCTCCTCCCCCTTCAGATTGCTTACCTTTATCTTCCTGGATAGATGCCAAGGACAGTTGGACAGTGACCAACTTATCTTATCTTTCTTGGTTGCACAGCAACAATATCCCTTAGTGACCTTCCTGACACTTTTCCACTAGCCCCCTATATCTAGCCCAAGCCTGTGTATGGCAATGGGCTCTAGCTCTCTTGCTGGGGTCCCACTCCACAGGGCTCCTGCCTAAACAATAAACCCTGTACTGATGTTTGAGCCATCTCTCTGCCTCTTCCATACCTCTTATTTTCTAACAGTTTATATAAAACTTTCTAGATGACTCATGGTTAAACAACTGTTGTCTTGGGAGATTCTAATACAGTTGGTACCCTATATGTGTCTGTGACTGGGCATTTGTGGTCACTGACACTGTTTCCCCCAAATGATGAAAAAAATCTAAGGTTTTACTTCAAAAACAACTAAACTAATATGTACATATAACCTCTATAGAACTGTGATGCTATTGCTGGTTGCTGTATATTAAATATATTTATGTTTTTCAAGTATATCAAGCCTTCTAAAATGCAAAATTTAGATAAGCACAGTAACAAAAAGTTAGTAGTACTGATATACTGTTCTATTAGTTGCTAAATTTTCCATCAGAATTTTAACCATGGCTCTTAAGTTTTTGTCATTACAGTCCTGATCCTTCTGGGACATTTACAATCAAGTCCTTAAAAAAAATGACTCTAATAACTACTTATGTGTCACCCAAGTTGGCTTAGACATCTGCTTTTGTTAGATTTTGTTTTATATTGTCCTTGTTTAGAAGCCCACTGCCTAAGAGCCACTCCTTCTAAGCCTCTTTCTTGCTTAAATTTGGCAAAAAGAGTCTAGTTGGCACTGACTCCCACCTGATCTACTTTTTATTCCCTCGTGGGACCAAGACCAATCAAACAAACAAAATCCAGGAAAAAGCAAATCCTGACGATGACCAATCAAGAAAGATCTTCAGTCTAAGGCCATATAACCCTGAACGTGCCCTATCTCGTCTGGTCTCAAAAGCTAAGCAGGGTCAGGCTCAGTTAGCACTTGGATGGAAAACAGATCTTCAGAAAAGACTGCTCAGAGACAAGCAGTTTGGAGACAAAGGGGGGAATGCCATCAAAGTTCAAACGGAGTCACTGGTGCCAGACCTCTCAAAAATAACCAAGGCCTAGAGGATTAAAGAAATGGTTTTTATGCATGTGTGGCTATCTGGCGTTAAAGCCCTTCCAGACACAAACTCACATTTTTGGACAGGGTCTTCTACTTAGAGACAAAATAATTATTTTTACTGGCTCTAAACATGTCCTTTGATACTTAAAGATGGTGGTTTTAACTTTTTTTAAACAATGAGTTTTCTTGGACATATACACTTGACAGTATATTGTTGCCATAGTAATTCTACTCAGTTAAAAAAAAAGACATTGGGTAAAAAAAATACATAAAATAAAATACCCAACCATTAAAACCACACTGGAGGTGCCCTTTTGTTGTTATCTTCTCTACTCCCACCATAGTTAAAGTAGCAGTGATTGCCCTTTGGATCCACCACAGTTGAGTCAAGCCAGCTTCTCTTGAGTGGGAGTGCATCCCTGATCCAGCTTCACCATGCAGGATCACCCTCCAGAACCTGAGTGCCCTCCCCCGCCAGGACTCTACTTCCCAGCAAACAAGGGACCAAAAACAATGGAATGACAGCCCTGTGCTAGTCACCACTGGAAGTCTATGCATGGCAGAAGCCTGAGGAGTCAACTCTCCAACAGGACAAACTGGTGTTTTCCACCCCAGTTATCTCACTGTAATGCATCGTCACCCCTTCTGTATCTGCTGCTGTAGTTCTCACCCTAGTCTTCACCATAGGCTTGGCAGAAACTGCCTTGCTGACTGGGCTCAGTGAAAGGTTTTTATTTGCTCTTTTCTGTCTCTTTTGAACAGGATGCATAATTAGTATTTATTGTTACTGATCTGGTTTAACAAAGGACAAAACACACAGCCCTCCTCCACAAAGGGAAGCTGCCCCTAACTACACCTGTGGCACCTGTAACCCTATAAATTTCACTGTACTTAAGCCATCTGATTAAACACGGGAAAAAGTAATTAATATAAACACAGATAAAAAGGGTCTTGACCCTGACAGTCTGATATACCTCAAATTAGTAACTGTCACCCATGAGTATTCCTCTCACTGGCTGAGTCTACAGCTCAGACACTAAATGTCACTTCATGCTATGTTGGGGGAGGGGGGATCAACATGGAAGACCACTGGACTTGAGAAAAAGATGATAAATGGCCTTACATGTAATGATGTTATAAAAAGACAAACCCATAAATTAAGATGATGGTCTTTGACCCTAAGTGGGTCCAAGCATCAAAGAGGGTACTAATGTAGCAGGGAGGAGGATCAGAAGAAACAGTCTAGGCCTGAGTCCTGAGAAAGTAGCAGGGAGGTAGGGATGGCATAGCAGAGATAAAACCTGAGAAATCTGAACATGAGATAGGTCATGTAGCACCAGGGAGGGGAAAGTCACATAGCACTAGGGTAAAGTAGCCAATAAAATTAAATATAACCATATATGCATTAGACCTTGCTTTTTGCTTCTGTAACCTGCTTGCAAGGGCATATAAAGTGAGACCCCTTTGTTCTTGGGGCTCAGCCTTTGGACACGAGTCCGCTGAGTCTGTGCTGGCACAATAAAATGTTGCTACTTGCTAAGTATCTCAGCTAGAAAAACTCCCACAACACCTCACATATGTGTACTTAGGCCTGGGGTAAATTCTCATCTCCCACTGGTTGTTAAAAGCTGTAATAGAAACAACCCCCCATCCCTCCTTCCAGTCTAGGTTAGGCCCCTTTGTAGGGGCTTCGTGGGCCCAGGCCCCCCTGCCCTCTGCCCTGCCTGGAGCTAAGTGACGTCACGATGCCTGAATTCTCTTCAGAACTCAGTCCTCAGCGCTGACTCTTTCCACCTGTGGATGTGACACAAGGACTCACTCTTCCTGGGCCTCGGTGTCACCCCCTTCCAGGCTGCTCTAACTCTGTGCAGCGTTTGGAAAACTTGAAGAGCCTAACCCAGACCCCGTTCCTCCTCCATCACAGCCTCCAGGGCACCCGGAGCCTGAGGACAGTGGTGGAATTCCTCACCTTTCAATGGAGGGGCCAATGCTCCCGGCTCCAGAGCCCAAACAAACCAGTCCCCTACCACACTGTCCACAACTTACAACGACGGATGTCAGAAATTGGCGACACCCCCGTCACAACTTTAGCAAGGTAAGCAGGCCCTTTCACAGGGTTCTGGGATGAACGCGACCAGGTGACGCAGCAGTTACCTCAGCCTGGTGCTTTAGAGTGGCCATCGCCATCGCACTCGGAAGTTGTTGTGGGGACCCCGGTAAGGCCTCCACCTCCAAACCTGAGACCAGCGGGTGAGCAGCAGGAGGGTCCTTTTATTACGCTCTCTTAAAGCTCAGAAGATGAGAAACGACCCTATAGCAACTGAATATAATTAGAGTAATTCCGGAAGTCCCGCCCTAGTTTTCTGCTTCAATTCCGGAAGTTGCCTTTCTCTGCTCATTGGCTCATTCTTTTGTCACTTGGCGTGGGGCTTTGTGGGTAGTGTAGTTTGTGGAGGTCAATGGCTGAGTCAGGGCACGCCACATCCCAATAGTCGGAATGCATAGGCTGGGATTCTACTCCGGAGCCCCACTGTTACCTGGTCTTGAGCAGTAAGGTTCTGGGTTTTGCGTGCAGCTCAGAATATGCCCCGGCGCCCCGCCGCAACAACTCTGTGGTGGAAGTGAGTCCGTTGCTCCAGGAGGAAAAGTGGAAAGTGGGTATCTGGAAAACATGAACCAGGCAAGCCATTCTAGCTCTCTGGGTTGCCGCCATCTTTGTTGCCCCTGAAAGATACGTGCCCTTCTGGGAATCAGGGGGCTCTTCCTCTCTGGGGAGCCTTCCTGTTGTCTTGGACAACTCTTCTATGTGACAGGCACAGGAGTTGATGCACAGATGACATGTGCAGGAATTTCAGGTGCTCAAGGTTCTTGAGCCTGCTCTGAGAATGAAAGCACAGACAGACTCTAACAGCAGAGGTCGGAAAGATTTTATTTGTAGAGAATTTAGTTGGAGAAAAGAGAAGAGAAAGACTGCATATTGGGGAATGCAGGGGGACCCAGAAACCGGTGATCCTGTGGGCCAGGGTGGAGAGTGGAGTTCTATAGCCTTTTTGCATTGCCTGATTGCTGAGATGTCTTTCATATGCAAATGAAAGTTTCCTAGGGAGGAGAAGTGTCTCCCAGACCACTTATCACCTTTTGGGACCTCCAGCAGTCCCTCCTTCAGTCATTCCCCCCTCTCAATGGTCACCCTAACTGCTGTTAGGAATAGAGACAATGAAGTCTATTCAGTAACTGCTTCCTGCTGACTGGGTGATGAAGGGGCCTGCAGCTTCAGAGCTCACCATGAGACAGGTTGTCAAGGGGACCAAGGTAGTAGGTCGATTTCATCTCCACCAGAGGCATTTGTAGTTTGATGGATTCCAGGCGAGAACAAGCAAACTTGACAAGTAAGTTTAAAATGCAAGGCCCAAACACAAGCAAGAGAATAATGGCAACTATAGGCCCCAGAAAGGGTAGGAACCAAGACCTGGAGGGAAGCGAGGATTTTATTTGTTCCCATACCTGTGTAGAAACCTGAGTTTCAGGAGATTGCTCTTGGAGCCATTTAGCCTGTTGGAGAATGTAATCTGCACATTCCTCTACAATGCCTGAAGTGTTTATATATGTGCAACAGGAGGTATTGGCAATGGCACATACCCCCCCTTGTTTGGCCAAAAGAAAATCTAGGGCCAGGCGGTGGTCCATGACCATACAGGCAAGGGACAACAAAGACCTTTGCATGTCATTTAACAGCAAGGCCTACCTGGTTTGAGGTGTCTTCTACCACTTTGGTTAGGTTTTTTGCAATTACATGATTGGCAATCACCCCATAACTGATTCCAGCAAGGATTGCAACTAATGCTGTTTTCCCTAAAACTATTAAAGTAACCTCTCTTCTTTCTTTCTTTTTTTTTTCCTTTTATTATTCATATGTGCATACAAGGCTTGGGTCATTTCTCCCCCCTGCCCCCACCCCCTCCCTTACCACCCACTCCGCCCCTCCCTCTGCCCCCACCCCCTCAATACCCAGCAGAAACTATTTTGCCCTTATCTCTAATTTTGTTGTAGAGAGAGTATAAGTGATAACAGGAAGGAACAAGGGTTTTTGCTGGTTGAGAAAAGGATAGCTATACAGGGCATTGACTCACATTGATTTCCTGTGCATATGTGTTACCTTCTAGATTAATTCTTTTTGATCTAACCTTTTCTCTAGTTCCTGGTCCCCTTTTCCTATTGGCCTCAGTTGCTTTTAAGGTATCTGCTTTAGTTTCTCTGCGTTAAGGACAACAAATGCTAGCTAATTTTTTAGGTGTCTTACCTATCCTCACCCTCCCTTGTGTGCTCTCGCTTTTATCATGTGCTCAAAGTCCAATCCCATTGTTGTGTTTGCCCTTGATCTAATGTCCACATATGAGGGAGAACATACGATTTTTGGTCTTTTGGGCCAGGCTAACCTCACTGAGAATGATGTTCTCCAATTCCATCCATTTACCAGCGAATGATAACATTTCGTTCTTCTTCATGGCTGCATAAAATTCCATTGTGTATAGATACCACATTTTCTTAATCCATTCGTCAGTGGTGGGGCATCTTGGCTGTTTCCATAACTTGGCTATTGTGAATAGTGCCGCAATAAACATGGGTGTGCAGGTGCCTCTGGAGTAACCTGTGTCACAGTCTTTTGGGTATATCCCCAAGAGTGGTATTGCTGGATCAAATGGTAGATCAATGTTAGCTTTTTAAGTAGCCTCCAAATTTTTTTCCAGAGTGGTTGTACTAGTTTACATTCCACCAACAGTGTAAGAGGGTTCCTTTTTCCCCGCATCCTCGCCAACACCTGTTGTTGGTGGTGTGCTGATGATGGCTATTCTAACAGGGGTGAGGTGGAATCTTAGGTGGTTTTAATTTGCATTTCCTTTATTGCTAGAGATGGTGAGCATTTTTTCATGTGTTTTTGGCCATTTGAATTTCTTCTTTTGAGAAAGTTCTGTTTAGTTCACTTGCCCATTTCTTTATTGGTTCATTAGTTTTGGGAGAATTTAGTTTTTTAAGTTCCCTATATATTCTGGTTATCAGTCCTTTGTCTGATGTATAGCTGGCAAATATTTTCTCCCACTCTGTGGGTGTTCTCTTCAGTTTAGAGACCATTTCTTTTGATGAACAGAAGCTTTTTAGTTTTATGAGGTCCCATTTATCTATGCTATCTCTTAGTTGCTGTGCTGCTGGGGTTTCATTGAGAAAGTTCTTACCTATACCTACTAACTCCAGAGTATTTCCTACTCTTTCCTGTATCAACTTTAGAGTTTGTGGTCTGATATTAAGATCCTTGATCCATTTTGAGTTAATCTTGGGTGATATACATGGATCTAGTTTCAGTTTTTTGCAGACTGGTAACCAGTTTTCCCAGCAGTTTTTGTTGAAGAGGCTGCTATTTCTCCATCGTATATTTTTAGCTCCTTTGTCAAAGGCAAGTTGGTTATAGTTGTGTGGCTTCATATCTGGGTCCTCTATTCTGTTCCACTGGTCTTCATGTCTGTTTTTGTGCCAGTACCATGCTGTTTTTATTGTTATTGCTTTGTAATATATTTAAAGTCAGGTATTGTGATACCTCCAGCATTGTTCTTTTGACTGAGTATTGCCTTGGCTATTCGTGGCTCTTGTGTTTCCATATAAATTTCAATGGTAGATTTTTCAATCTCTTTAATGAATGTCATTGGAATTTTGATGGGAATTGCATTAAACATGGATTACTTTTGGGAGTATAGACATTTTTACTATGTTGATTCTACCAATCCATGAGCATGGGAGATCTCTCCACTTTCTATAGTCTTCCTCAATCTCTTTCTTCAGAAGTGTATATAGTTTTCCTTGTAGAGGTCTTTCACATCTTTGTTAGGTTTAACCTAGGTATTTGATTTTTTTTGAGGCTATTGTAAATGGAATTTTTTCATATTCTTTTTCAGTTTGCTCATTGTTAGTGTATAGAAATGCTAATGATTTTTCTATGTTGATTTTATATCCTGCTACCTTGCTATAGCTATTGATGATGTCTAGAAGCTTCTGAGTAGAGTTTTTTGGGTCTTTAAGGTATAGGATCATGTCGTCTGAAATAGGATATTTTGACAGTTTCTTTACCTATTTGTATTCCTTTTATTCCTTCTTCTTGCCTAATTGCTCTGGCTAGGAATTCCAGTACTATGTTGAGTCCTGGAGATAGTGGAGATAGTGGGCATCCTTGTCTGGTTCCTGATTTTAGAGGGAATGGTTTCAGTTTTTCTCCATTAAGTATAATGCTGGCTGTAGGTTTGTCATATATAGCTTTTATAATGTTGAGGTACTTTCCTTCTATTCCTAGTTTTCTTAGAGCTTTTATCATGAAATGGTGTTGGATCTTATCAAAGGCTTTTTCTGCATCTATTGAGATGATCAAGTGGTTTTGTCTTTGCTTCTGTTAATGTGGTTTATTACGTTTATTGATTTTCGTATGTTGAACCACCCCTGCATCCCTGGGATGAAGCCTACTTGGTCGTGGTGAATAATCTTTTTGATGTGTTGTTGAATTCGGTTTGCCATTATTTTGTTGAGGATTTTTGCATCAATGTTCATTAAGGAGATTGGCCTATAGTTCTCCTTTTTGGAGGTGTCTTTGCCTGGTTTTGGGATAAGTGTAATACTGGCTTCATAAAATGTGTTGGCAGTTTTCCTTCCCTTTCTATTTCGTGGAACAGTTTAAGGAGGGTTGGTATCAGTTCTTCTTTAAAGGTCTGATAGAATTCAGCAGAGAATCCATCAGGTCCTGGACTTTTCTTTTTGGGGAGACTCTTGATTGCTGCTTCAATTTCATTTTGTGTTATAGATCTATTCAGGTGATTAATTCCTCTTGGTTCAGTTTTGGATGATCATATGTATCTAGAAATCTGTCCATTTCTTTAAGATTTTCAAATTTATTTGAATATAGGTTCTCGAAGTAGTCTCTGATGATTTCCTGGACTTCCATGGTGTTTGTTGTTATCTCCCCTTTTGCATTCCTGATTCTTACTAATTTGGGTTTTTTCTCTCCTCATTTTAGTCAGGTTTGCCAGGGGTCTATCGATTTGTTTATTTTTTCAAAGAACCAACTTTTTGTTTCATTAATTCTTTGTATGGTTTTTTTGGTTTCTATTTCATTGATTTCAGCTCTATTTTTATTATTTCTCTCCTATTTGTTTTGGGATTTGCTTGTTCTTGTTTTTCTAGGAGTTTGAGATGTATCATTAGGTCATTGATTTGGGATCTTTCAGTCTTTTTAATATATGCACTCATGGCTATAAACTTTCCTCTCAGACTGCCTTGC